GAAAGAAAGAAAGAAAGAAAGAAAGAAAGAAAGAAAGAAAGAAAGAATCACTTAAGCTGAAATCGGAGGAACATTACTGGTGTCTCTGCCACTAAAAAGAGAAGACAAAGTTAGCAGAGAGAAGGGAAGCCAGACAAAGAGCTTTGTGAAGGAGTCTTAAGCCCTTGGTAGCTGCACAGTGAAGCAACTCAGAGCTCTTTTTAAATGGATTTTAATTGCACTCTGCTCTTTTAGGAGATGGCAGCTCTTCCGCTGAGTTTGAGGGGGGGGAAATCCCCTATTGAGTGTTGCCCGTGAGGTGGAAAATAAATGTTTTTTTGTGCTTGGAGTGCCTTTATTTACAGGGCCAGAGAAATGTCATTGATTGGTTCAGGCTGAGATGGTTTCAAGGGAGCCCATCGGGAGCCCATCGCCGAGCTCCCACTTAGCTTTTAGGCCTTCTTAGTGATTCAGAAATGTCTTCTCGTTTGCAGAGGGAACTTCTGTTGGTTGGCAGAGGACAAAGCAAGCTTATGGGATTCACTGTGGGAAGAAATGGCTTAAGCCCAGGGCTGAGTAATGTGGTCGGGGGAGGCAGAGATATAGATTTATTCATATAATACATATCTAAAAGGAATGCAATCCATGTGAAGTGTGAATTTTTTAGCAGGTTGAATTCTAACCAGGATCTGCCCCAAAGGATGGATGGATGGATAGATAGATAGATAGATAGATAGATAGATAGATAGATAGATAGATAGATAGATAGATACTATGGGTAGGTAGATAGGTAGTTAGGTAGGTAGATTAGATAGATAGATAGATAGATAGATAGATAGATAGATAGATAGATAGATACATACTGTGGGTAGGTAGATAGGTAAGTAGGTAGGTAGGTAGGTAGATACTGTAGGTAGGTAGATTAGATAGATAGATAGATAGATAGATAGATAGATAGATAGATAGATAGATAGATAAGATAGGTAGATAGTAATGTTGATGAAGATAGATAATAAGATAGATAATGATGAATATAAATGATAATAACAATGAAGATAGATCTGAAGTGATGATGAGTGTGAGAGAGAGAGATGATGATGAAGATAGACAGATAATGAAGAAGATAGGGAGGGAGGGAGGGAGAGGAAGGAAGGAAGGGAGATCCTTTTAGCTGAGCCCACTGAAGGGATGGCAAACATCTTAGAAGGGACCTTTCCTATTTTTTTTGGAGAGTCTAAGGGAGAGAGACCCTTTGAGTCTTGCAAGATTCTGTTAATGTCACCTTACAGTAAAGGCAGAGCTATCCCACCTCGCTGTCTATCTTATTTTTATTACCTCGCAAGGCTGATGCATAAAAGCAGGCGTAACATTGCTTTAAATATGCGGCGGCATAAAATTAGCCAGAGGTTGGAGTTCTTGCTATGTCTGGGTTGGAAAACTCAAGTTGGAAAGTCATCTTTATAGTTAATAAAGCTTTTCCTTCCTGTCCCCACATTACCCAATACCTGAGCTTTGCTGCGGCTTCTTACCCAGTTGTTGGCTTATTACAACTTGTCACATTTTGCGCTGTTAATCTAACGTGTAAAGAAAACATTGCACACCCAAACGTTCGCACTGTTTATTTGCCTTTGCTAGAATCCTTGTGCAGTAGGCCTCGTCCCATCCCTTGTTAATCGTGGGAGCTGACTTACTACACGTAGTTCTTCTGTTACAGCATATTATTGCATTGCTCCTGGCGTTTGACCCTTTCTTTTGCGACGTTTGCAAGTCAGTCCATTCTCGAGGCACATTGCACCACTGCTTCTGTCAGCTTCACAGAAGGTGAAGGCATCTAGCCAACCTTGACTGATCTTGAAAACGCAAAGCAGATTGGGGATGTTTAGTACTGGATGAAGTGGAAGAGAGGGGCAGGAAGAGTAGTGAGGCAAGGCACCAAAACAGCCTCGGTTCACCATTTTCTGAGTGTGCGCCCCATTGTTGTTAATACAACCTCTCTTGGTAATGAGGACCTCTTTAGATAGACCTCAATAATGCAGAAAGCTTGAGATCCTACAGAGAACAGCAAATGCTATGGGTACTGCCTACTCTGAGGTGGGTTAGAAAATCTCAGATTTATAAATTAGATTGGACAATCCCAAAATACCGTGCAAAGATAGTCAAAGAACTATCAACCATTCGTCCATTGTTGCCAAAAGAACATAGATGTCTTCTTAAAGATTGACTCCTGGGGGATCTTATAGTCCTCAACTTACAACAGTTCATTTAGTGACCATTCAAACTTACAATAGCACTGGAAAAAAGTGACTTACGACTGTTTTTCACACATATGACCATTGCAGCATTCCCCTGAGGTCATGTGATCAAAATTCAAATGCTTGACAACTAACTTGTGATGGTTGCAAAATCCCAGGGTCATGTGGTTAATTTTTGCAACCGTCTGACAAGCAAAACCATGGGGAAGCCAGATTCACTTAACAGCCATGTTATTAATTTAAAAACATCAGTGGTTCACTTAACAACTGTGGCAAGAACGGTCATAATATGGGCCAAGATTCACTTAACAGATGTTTCACTTAGCGACATAAATTTTGGGCTCAAGTGTGGTCATAAGTCAAGGACTACCTATATTCGTAAATGCTGAATCCCACTTCAGAGTAGGCACTACTCATAGTATCTGCTATTCTTATAGGATCTCAGCCTTCCTGTATTACTGAAAGATGATAGGCTAGAACAGAGGTGTCCAATGTTGGCAGCGTTAACATTAAATTAACATTAACATTAAGTCTTATGGACTTCAACACCCAGAATTCCCCAGCTGAAGTCCACAAGTTGCCAAGGTTGGATACCCCTGACTAGACTTTCTCAGTCTTTGGTTGGTTGGCTGGCTGGCTGGTTGGGTTGGGTTGGTTGGTTGGTTGGTTTGCTTGTTGGTTGGTTGGTTGAGTTGGTTGGTTGGTTGGGTTGGGTTGGGTTGGTTGGTTGATATCCCACCTTTTAATTCTGGAAATTAAGGCAATGAATTAAGCTCAGTGTCCTTTCTTTCTAATTTTCCCTCAACTTTCTGGTGAATTAGGTTGGGCAGAGAGAGAGAGAGAGAGAGAGTGATTGGTCCAAGGTCGTTTAGGGAGGACCCGTAACTGATTGTGAGCTAGAATCTGATCTACTCACCTAAGTCAGAGTGGCCTTTGGGTTGAGCAAGAATGAATGGCTCTAAATGACGTTGTTGGCTTCCCTGCTGGAGGATGGACCAAAATCTAGATCTCCCTGCACCTAGTCTATCATTAAAGCACAACTGGCTCTCTTAATGTTGGAACTGCATGACCTTGAATCCTCCTCCAGATTTTGGCCCAAATAGGGAGGAATTCTGGAGATGGAAAGCCCACCTCCTCTGGAGACCCAACTGAGGGATGTTCTCCTAGATGCAAGCCACCTTTTCATCTACCCCATCAAATGCCTTGAAATGCTTCCGAGACAAATCCTAATGCCAATTATGGGATCCTGAGGGATGGAACGCCCAACCTCAGCCCTGGTTTCTTTTTGACCTTTCACAATTCTTCTCGGTGAAGAAACACCTCCCCACCTCAAAGTTGACTTCTCTCATTGCTCACCGCAGCCATGCACCTGTTTGGCCTAAACTGGCACCTGCAGCCGATGGAAGGGCAGATGTTTGAGATCACGGAAGACACAGCTGGCAGTTGGCCTATGCCAACAGACATCTCCTTGTATTCCTCAGGGGGCACAGGGTTAGAGTTACCTGAGAGGAAAGGCAAAGGAGCCGGCGAAGGTACGGTTTGTGTTTTTCCTTCTTGTGTGTCTTTCCACCCTCATAACATCATGGCCTTCCCCTCCAGTTGCCGCTTCATTCCAGAATTTTCTAGAACGCCCCTCTCCCCCCCCCCCGCTCACATCATCATCTCTCCCTTTTCCAACACTGACCCGAAACATGCATTATCGCACCACCACAATCCAATCCAGAGCCATCCATCCGAAGGGGAGGGAAATACCTCTTTCGTGTGTGTTTGTTTACTGTGTATTCTTCCAAAAATTCTCCTGTCTCCGCTGACATGTGTTGATCATTTAAAATAAAGTTTGTTTTAACGCTCCTTGTTTCCCTCTCTCTTCCCCTACAAGGATACCAAAAGTTGATGTTTCTTGCTTAATTATGCTTCGTTGTTGTTTTCCTTTGATGATTTTTTTCCTGGTAAACGTACGCCTCATGCCAAAATACGTTTTTTGAAAGCTCCCTGAAACCATAAGTTTCGACGTAATTCGTTTACATATTGAGATCAGATTCTAAATTATTCCATTTTGAAAATCGGGTGGAAAAGATACAGCTAATTCTCTGCTTACAATCACGATTGGGATCAGAAATTTCAGCATTAAGTGATGCAGTCATTAAACGAGGTCTTAAATGTGATCACGCCTGATTTTGCAACCTTTTTTGCCCTGGTCATTAAGTGGTTCATCACATGATCACGATTTGCGACCTTTCCTGCCGGCTTCCCCAATGACTTTCCATTGAGGAAGCCGAATTTGCTTAACGGCCGCGTGATTCACTCTGTGGCTGCAGTGACTCGCTGTACAGCCATTGTAAAAATATTCATAAAATCAGGTCCAGGCACGTGGCAAGTTGATTTATGATTGAACCAAAATTCCAATCCTAGTTGTGGTCATAAATCAAGACTACCTGTAGAAGTAAAAGCAAGCACAATTTTTTAACTTTTGTGCCAATGCTTCAATCTCTGGAAGTTGTTCATTCCTAACCTTTAATATCCAAGAATGCTCCGTGTTTTCTAAAAATCTATCCAGCTTCTCCGGAGGCCGAAAGACTAATTGAATGTAGTAAACTGAGAACTATTCAAAGCTATGTAAAATCATCCTTTGTTTAGTAAAAGTAGCTTGACAACCTACCACAGGATCTCAGGAAAAACTTGTAAAAGGTGAAATCCTGTCATTCCTTAAAAGCTAAGCATTGTGTAGCACAATAAAACTCAGGTGTGCTACGAAAACAACACATTTTTAACCCCCATTAAAGTAAAACGTTTGTGCAAATAAGAACTTTTGTGTGCTAGGCTGATAATCTACCTGAATTTTTTTAAAAAAAATGTTCTCTGTTCTCCAAATTTTCTGGGTCACAACTCGGATATGTAGAACACAATTGTGACTTATGCCACATGTAGATAGCAATCACATGTACCAAAAGCATCCAATTATACCCATTACAACCGTCATAAGTACGAGTCAGTTGCCAAGCCTTTGAATTTTTATCACGTGACTATGGGGATGCTACAATAGTCATAAGTGTTAAAAACACCGTCATAAGTCACTTTTTTCAGTGCCGTTGCAACTTCGAATGGTCACTGAACGAACCCATTGTAAGCTGAGGACTTGATTTCTGAGTCTTAAATGTTTGAAAGGTGAATTTTTAAAAAGTGCTTATTTTAGTGTGGGCGAGATGAGACTTCCATTATCAGATGTTTCTGGAAGCAGAGTTTTTTAATGGTTGCCTGTGCAAATTCCACTCTCTGAACAGAAAGCTATCTCTTTCTGTTGGCTGTTCCACATATCCGCAAATACCACACATATTTTAAATAAACTTAACACCAAAGCAGTTAATCTGTCCACAGGGAAGAATTCGTGTTAACTTCCTAACAGATGGAATCACTTAAGTTTTAAGTAGAGTTTTACTGTCTGAAAAATATAAAAATATGTTAGGGCTGCAAGAATCTACTCCCCATTGAAATTCTGGCCATTAAACAGGGTACTGTTGGCTGCATAAAAAAGTCTGCGGATGGAGAGAAAACGTTTTAATCCTTTTATTCTCCAAACACCACTTCCATTTATGTTCCAAAAAGGAAGGGAAGAAAATGACAGGGCTGACTCCAGTTTAGAACGGTATTCCTCAAACTTGGTGTGCAATAGAACAGAACACAACACAACACAATAGAATAGAGGAGTGTGAATAGGAATAGACAGTGGTGGGATTCAGCCAGTTTGCACCAGTTCAGGATAACCAGTTGTTATCTTTCTGAGCAGTTTGGTGAACCGGTTGTTGGAAAAAAATCATTAGGACAGAGAACCAGTTGTTAAATTATTTGAATCCCACCACTGGAAAGAGAATAGGGATAGGATAGGATAGGATAGGATAGGATAGGATAGGATAGGATAGGATAGGATAGGATAGGA